AAATAAAAAGGATCCATAAGATTTGTATAGAATTCAAACCATGTTTTTCCGAGGACAGCCATTTCATTTTTGTTTCGTCCTTTAACTTCCTGTCTGAAATATTTGAATTGTTAGTGCTGAAGTCATTTCTGTGCTGGAATCAAACTACAGATCCATGCACGAGGGACTCACAGGAAATCACACATTTTATCCCACATCCCTCACTGTTACCAAATGACAAGCCAGTGCTGTATTGAGATACTAATCTTCACTGGAGTTTTGACTGACATGGGGTGAGTACGCAATGACAGGATTTCATTTTGGCATGACATATTAACTCCACCTTTGTCATCGACTCTAAAATAAATGTATCATATTAAAATAAATGTCAGTCAACATGATATGAAGAGAACAAGTCACACACCTCATCTTTAGCCTTCTCGTTAATGAAAGTATTGTGCTGTATGTAGGAAGCGCCACAGTGCTGATATGTTTCCTCCGCATTGGAGAGATACTCCACAGCCTCCTTCATAGTGATGTCAGCAGTATCTGACCTAAAAGATATTAAAATACAATCTAAATGTTATTTCAATAGACAGAGCATGCCAATATAATGTGTTTACTGAAACACGTGATTAAGTCTAAAATGTGGAAGTTATTAATCTCACTCACCCTGTATTTCCTTTGGTCTCTGCAGGACCGTCAGTAACTGTTTTGGTCACCTCAACTTTGCTGCCCAGGAACTGGTTGCTTGATTTGGTCTGACCGGTGCCATTCATGGTGAACACGGGCTGAAACTGCAGAGGGGAGGTGGGGGTCTTTACAAAGTGACCGCTGCTTCTCTCTTCCCTGTAGATTGCCCTGCTGGAAGGAAATCTCTGCGGAGGAGCAGAGCGTTTTGGCACGGAGCGATTCCAGGCCATTCCAGGCTCACTGTGGCTGGTGTTGGCTTGACCCAGCGCAGTGGAGCCGATGCCGGCGAAAGACCTCACATGTTGATAGGTAGAGCCTGCAGTCCTCTTCACACTGGCTCCCTGTATGTTGTTGACTGAATACCGGCTGAAGTTTGGTTCTCGGCTGTGCTGCAGAACCAAAAGTTAAATGTGATTGTGACTGACATTGAGCTGGCAATAGAACATTTAATTATGAAACAACCTTTTGGTGACATGGCAGCCCTGCGGGTTGTTTTCAAGATCGGCTGGCATGGGAGAGGCTGGTGAGCATGTTTTTGTGTGAGAAGACAGATAGTCTAGAAGGATTTGGAAACAGGTTTTTGGGGAAGATTGCTGACGATAAATCCATTCTTATTAGGCCCTGACACAATATGCAAATTAAGATAATTGCTATTATGTGCGTTTCTTGTGTTGAACAAAATAGTGGCGAAATATATCCTTTTACTTTGATTTACAGGTCAGAATTTGTTTAATATTGATGTCTTTAGTAAAAACTCCCTTATGCAACTCACTAAATTATTATTATTTTAAATCTAAAATGATTTTACGTTTCCAATTTTCAACTACGTCAAATAATTCAGACAATGTGTTGGACTTTAGAAAACAATTAATCCGCCACTATTTTATCGTTTATAATGGGCCTTTTTCAAACTCATTCCAGTATGTGAGGATTTGCTACTTTTTCCATGTCATATAGGATAGTAAATTCAATATATTTTGGTTTTGTTTGGTTAAACAAGCAATTTGAAGAAGACATCTGAGTCACAAGAACACTATATTGGGGGAAATTAACAACTTTTCTGACACAGGACAAAACAATTTATCCATTAATTAGGAAAATATATAGCAGATAGATTGATTAATTATGAAAATAGAGGTTTGTTGCAGCCCTAATCTAAATGGGATTTTAAATACTTCTACACTGTTAATAAACTGTGCTGATTCAAAGTTATTAGGTTATGAATACGATCTTTATCAGCCTTACAAAACACCAAGTGTAACTTCACTTGTATAGGTAGAATACTCCGTACAACGACCCTCATTGGTAGCTACAGTCCTGCATCAGACTCACATCATTCCCTTAATGACAACAATGTGATGATAATACAACCACATCAGGTACTGTTGCCAATCAATCGTGTGACAACAATATAGATAAGCTGTATAACTTACAGTTTTAGAATAGCCATTTGCAAAGATGAACCCTCCATTAGATGCGCTGGAGTTTAACTTTGGAGCCTCTATGAACACGGAGTCAATGGTAGGAGCTGAGGAGAAATGTAGAACGTTATCATCTGGGGTCATATACCTGAGATTAATGTCATCCATTTATTACATTTGTTTAAAGACAAGGGACACATATGTTACCTACTCGGCAAGTCTGATCTTAGGTTTGTGTTTGAAAATAATAGTGTCCATGTGGTATTAAAAGAGGAATTCAAGGTCAGAAGCATGAAAACCTGAAAGCACCAATAATTTAGAGAGCAGGAAACCAACAAGTGTTAAAGTATTTCTTTCGGTAAGACAGGGCGTTGGGGTCAACAACAAACGATGTACAGGCCAGGGCCGTAGCCAAGGTTTTAGTAATATTTAATCCTTCTGTGACCACAAACCAAATAGGAGTTGTTAATTATAAACTTCTGTATTCTCCAGCTTACAGTTCAGTTGAGTATGCTCCCCTTGGTTTTGATTGGCTCCATAATTTAACCAAGTTTCATGATATTCAAGTCGATAGTTATTCTGTGATGCTGACAAAAAAGACAAACAATCCAAACCATGAACGCAACATTTGCACACCAAACAAATAACCCCCCAAATAGTGTAATTCTTATCAATGACATTTTCTGCATATTGTTTTTTTCAAATGTACAGTAGCAGTTCCATAAAATGACTTTACCCTGAAAACAACTTAGGCCTATCATCAAAATCCAGTTTAACTAAGAACTTTGTCTCTATTTTCCCTTTATAATTAGAACAGAAGAACACTTCCTGGGAAGGTAATGACCTCTTATGTGAATAATTACATGTCCATCTCCTAACATGAAAGTTTAAATTATGTTTTTAATGGCAGACTATATATCTCTCTCCTTGTGTACTGAGTTGTTATCGGCCCAGGTGTGTTGGCTGCTCTCTTACATGTCGGAGATAGAGAAGTGGAAGCGCTCCTGCTGCTGGACAGCCGGGTCTTGCTCCTCCGGAGGGTCTCCACCTGCTCCCGGACCCGCTGCTGCCCGGACCGGCACTGGTTACTGGACGGCAGAGCCAGCGACGTGTGGTCCACATTCCCGATGGAAATAACCGATTTAAGGTGGTCCAGAGTCGCCATTTTTTAAACTGTCCGGTCGGCCTAAACAACATCCAGAGGGAAGCCAGTCCGCCGCAGAGTGTCTGGGCTGCCGGAGGTAAAGTGCACCTTGTCCTGCCCTGAACACCAGACCGCGCCCATCCAGCAACAATACACCGCTCTCTGATGCCTGTCCTGACAAATACCACGCCATTATGTGCAGCTGACTATTCCCCACAGGCTAACAGTTATTGGAAGTAATGAAAGGAACTCATCACTGAAGTACAATTTAAGGTGTTTATACTTAACTTTTTCCCCCACGTTTTATGCTGGGTAGGATACATTTTAAACGTATAGGTTAAAAATATGTTACTACAGCCGTAACAACCAGAGGTGCGTATTAACCAAGTACATTTACTCAAGTAGGCTATTGTCATTGAGTAACATTTTTAAAAAGTATATACTCAAGTATTTCCATTTTTTGCTACTTTGTACCTCTACTCCACTACAATTCAGAGGTAAATCGTGTAGGCTACTTTTACTCCACTACATTTATTTAATACCTTTAGTTACTATGCAGATTTGGAATGATGAAATATAATCAACACTTAAATCAGACTTTAGTTACACCTGGAGTAAATTCACAAGCTACCCTGCTGCATACAACGTCATTAAATCTAGCTTTCTGAATTCTGAATGCAGGACTTTTGAAGGACTTTTACTTTGACCCGTGCTTGTTATTCCACCTTACCTGCCACTAATGCAAGAGATGGATGTGATGCCATCACTAGAAAACACTTCAATACAAGAAACGTTTTTAAAGAGGTATGAAACAAGATAATACAATATTAGTAGAACTACTGTAAGCATTGGGTTGAGAGGTCATGTGTTGTGAGCATGCGCAGTCGGGGCTAGAGTGGTGTGTGACATGTGTGTGACTCGACGTTAATAAACGGAGGCATCTGTGACGCTCCAAAAAGTACTAAGTTCCTGAGTTCTTGTTACACAGAAGTATTCTTGAAGCCTTAACACCTCGGACGTTACACTACTATAACTTCAGTTCAGGTCATGCATGAAAGATTATTATGACTTTAGTTGAAATGCATAATAAAGACAGCAGCTTACTTAAAAGGAAAAACATTATAAACAAGTGTTGTATGTTACATTATGTCACAAGAAAGGCCAGGGTTGCACAAGAGCTGTGTGGCAAGTGTCTTACTCTATTATCCTCTCATTTAAATCCTGTTCTCCTAAAATACAGGCCTGCATTGTTTCCACCTTTTTCGGTTACAAAATCAATGATTGATTTTTGTACAAAATTAGACTTAGCTGAAAACGAATTTGCATCAGGTGTAGTATAGCCTAATGTACATGCAAAGCATGCGTGTTCTGTATTTTTCAGTGTGAAATGCATGCTCCTCCTACATATTGCTGTTTCTGTTTTATTTCAGGTAATGGCACTAAATATGATGGTTTAGGTTTTAACCAGTCTATGGTTTTAACATGGTGTCAGTTAAAGCATTTGTGATTTGCTGTGGGAAAAAAATGAAACATGTTAAGTGTACCACACCCATGGGTGCCTTTTCTTTAGTGCGAGTTGCTATAATGGTAAATCTGGCTGTCATCCCACATGCTCCGAGATCTTTGCAACTGCTGATGAAGAGTCAGTGGGGTGAATGCTCCCATCCGTTAGCGTGAAGTTGTAATGCCCTCTAGTGGTGAATGTGAAGAACCCATCATGCACTGCCATTCCCATTCATCCAGAGCCTCAGCAGTCAGGAAGGGTCGATTTATAGTTTTTATTATTGCTTTCATAATCATGCCCATCACAATTTTCAATTGGAATGAACTTCATGTTTTATTTTACATGTTATTACCTTTATGAGATTAAGAACTACTTGTGCTTTTCCAACACTGAGTGTAAGAATACTGTTAACATTATCAATACGGTCATGGTTAGGTTTCAGCCGAGTCTTAACACTGTTTTACAACAGCATGGATCATTAAGTACTTTCACATAACAGGAAGTAGTTTATCTGGTTAGACAGCTAAGTGCACTGCACACTAATGATATATTAAGCATTCATAGTTCTCTACAGTACATGATGTTTCTTTTAAAAAGTAATTAATGTGATCCAATTAGATCAAGTTTGAAAGTATATATATACACACACACAAACATACAGTGCATTATCAATGCGATACTTTGGGAAATAGGAGTGTAGATGGTCTCTAACATTAAAATACTTTACTGTGCAATACAGTAAACATGAGACATGCAGATCTTACAATACTAAAAATACAAGTATTCACTGGCGCATGAGTTTTCATATAAGTGCTTATGGAAGTTCTAAACAATCTGGTAAAAATAAAAAGGTACTGACCTAAATGTAAACCTTCAACATTAGGAGTGTCTGTGTCTTCGTGCAGTGGAGTGCACAGGGTTTCTCTCTGTAAGTACATCAGCAAACAGTCTGGACCCACTATGATTGTGTCCAGATCACAAAAGGGAAGCATGAAAACAAAAACAGAAACATCTGGTCCCGCTGAAACTACTGGTTGGTGGAATGCAAGTCGGACAAGCGGCTTAAGAAACACAAATGGTCACAGTTATGAGCGTTAAGAACAGCAGTAGCACAGAAGTGTCATGTTATGTAACGGGAAGTGTTTGTTTAGCTGAAGAGGGAAATCTAGGGGTGAAGACGAGTATATAAAAAGTATAAAAAGCATGTGTCCTGCACTACTTTCAGAAAAGTCCTTCAAAAACGTTTGCATTCTGCAATACAAATCTAAATCTTAAGAGCATAAAACACATTCATAGGACTTTCTCCAACATTCATCTTAAAGCTCACTTCAAAGGCTCCTCTCACAGAGCCCACTTTGACCGCAGTCAGCTCCTCTTTTATTCCTCCGGGGCCAATGCACTGGGCTCATGACCCTCTGGGGGCCTCCGCGGGGCGTTGTGGGGCTGAGCCAGAGGAAAGCCCCTGAGCTTCTCCTGCAGACTCCCCACAGCCAGCCTCATCTGGTCTTCAGCCCCCTGCAGAGCCTTCAGCTCCATGGTGTAGAAGATGTACAGCAGGAAGGTGGTCAGCAGGATGGCGAAGCACAGAGCAGCCAGCAGGTAGAAGGAGGTACGAGGGAAAGGCTGTTCTTTCCCCAGGGCCAACCAGGGCACCGCAGCGATGGCCAGCTCCAGGACCAGCAGAGCCAACCCCATCACTCCGGTGCGCGTTGCCGTGTAGCGCATCCTCTCAGCGCAATGCAGGCCCACTTTGACTTCAGTGCGCGCCTCTGTCACAATGTCCACTAACACAGCCAGCTTCCCTGAAGACAGGACGGACAGAAGAGGCAATTCAACTTTTGCAACAGTTGACATCAACACAATTTAATCTGTGTGTTTAATACCAGTTGAACAGTGAAGCAGAAAAAGGCTGTGCATAATTTTCAAATATTAGATCACTTGTGGGCAAATCTACTGTAACTTCAAGTAATTCACAGCATGTCAAAGAGCTACAGACAGGAGGCTTCGGAGCAGTTCTGGCACTACTACGGGTCACAGAGGTGGCTTGGCTCCAAAATGGTAGAAGTATATCCCTATGATATTGAAAGCGAATTGTTTAACTGTTCGCTTCATCTAATAATTCTCCACTTATGTCCTGGCCTCAGTTCAGAGGTATTTATCTGTCTGTACCATCGTAAAATTTCCATCAAAATCCAGAATTACCCGTCGGCCTTTACACAAAGGGGGGGTGCGCCGTGTTATACATGCCCACTGCACCTCGCGGGAGCGCACACAGCGTAAAGCCAAAACTCACAGACATTTCAATGATTTGTACGGCAAAGTTAGGTTTGGAAACGGTATCATTTCCTTTTTGGAGGGCATGCATAACACGGCATAACACCAGAGCCTCGCTGCGGGGAAACTTTGGCGCTGTTCCGAGTTTGTTCTAATCTGTCAAAATGACAGACTGCTTTCAGATTTTTCCGTCATTGTTAAAAGAAATCCGTCATAGACGGAAAATATTCGGTTAACGCGACCTCTGGTCTGTACAGACAGCAGTCTCTTGTATCAAGATTAGCTTGGGCCTGTATTCTGGGGCTCTCTTCATCAGCTATGTTAGTGGATGTCCTCCTTGTTAATTCTGAATATGCATAAAGCAAGATTGTAAACATTCTCTCCTTCAGACAATGACAGGACTAAACATGTTATTTATCAGAGTAAACCTAATCTGACCGAGGCCTTCAGAAGCCTGCGCCTCTGCAAGAAATGTAACTGGTTATCTCTTGCTGATGGAATGATCAGCTTTCTATTTGGTAAAAAATGTTTAGGGTACAGAACTTCAGAGTTAGTTGGTCATAGCTGTGTCATTACGGTGTCTCAGCAAATGTCTTTGTCAATTCTCACACACAAGATTGTGTCTTCCAGTGTCTAACGCTCTGTCACTGTCAGATCTGCTCTATGAGGTGTTGACATTAAAGGTGACTGCAAGGTGTCTCTGTGCATTTCTTTGATTTGAATAGAATTATACAACCCTGTCTTGTCAAAGTAGTGTACAAGAAAGCAAACCATTTGCCATAGAAATATTAATTTTTTTGAATTTCATTAATTCTGCTATAAACATACCTGCAGCAGAGTCCTTAATCTTTGGTTGCCTGTCACTTCGTGTCTCAGTCTGAGTGTGTGTCTCCAGCCTCAGTCCAGCAGTCAGAGCCTCATGGTCGGAGTATGGGAAAGGATGGTTTGGGACGGAGCCTTTGGTGGTGGACATGTAATCACAATAAATGTCTGTTTTGGTAGAACCCTGGGAATAAAAAAGAGGGAATGGGCTTTAGGAATTAAAACACATTACAAATGAATCCTTTGACTCAAACATCTTGCTGAAGACATGAGGTGATAAAAATACCGAAAGCTTTCACCCACCTTGAACAGGATGTAGTCGATTCGAATTCCCTTTTCAAAGGGACAAAGCTCCTTTTTATTGATAAAAGGATTGTCGGCTATAAGGGTCATACCATCCTCGCATCCCTGCAACAGAAAAGCATTTTTAACGTTTATAAAATATTTTATAAAGTATATACACATAGTAAAGAAAAACTAAATGTCTTCTTCTTCATGTTTTTATAGTCTTCTTGACAATCTTTGGCAGCCACAATGACTCTGCTTGGTACAGCTTTAAAGGTCCCATGTCATGGCCATTTCTACTGGTCATAATTCCATTGTTGAGGTATACTAGAATAGATTTATATTGTGCAATTTTCCTAACTCACATTGGTTTCTCATACAGCATCTCTGTATAGTACGTGTACTCACTCTCTGTCCTAAACGGCTTGTTGGAGCTCCTGCCCCCCCCTCCCTGTGAGCCCAGTGGCCGCCTGCGAGACAGCGAGACACAGCGAAACCCAGCCCGAAATACACACACACACCCGCAGCCTGGCTGGGAGTTTGTGTGTGTGCCGAGGCTGAGTTCTGCGGTGTCTCGCCGACCCCACACTAGTGAGCCAGCTCACAGTGTCCCGCTCCTCGCAGCAGCGAGCCTCGCAACGTCCTGCCGAGTGTGTGTGTGTGAGGAAGTCCACGGATTGATCCAAACGTAACGGCTCCGCGGACGTAACGTAACGGCTGTTAAAGTTTTACTCGCTACAGGGTGTACTTTGAGGGTTTGTGACTCTGTAGACCGTTTACATGCAGAAAAAGCTACATAACACACAAGGGGACGGGTAATAACCAGAAAAGCATGACATGGGACCTTTAAAATTTTGCAGAACTACTCTTTGACAATGTGTACTTTGTTAAGTTGTGTGTGCAAGTGCCTTGGGTGATTATGGTCTACTCTTACGGACCGTCTCCACAGCAGCGTTAAGAAAATCTTGGAGGTGGGCGTATCTGAGGCTTGGGGATTTTTTTGCGATCAACCAATCACATGAATCTCCCGCCCGCGACATACGAAGCCAAAAAGCCCGAAGTAAACTGGATATAAACTCCCCAAAACAGGCGAAAACATACCACTGTCTCTGCCACCTCCCTCCATGCCTGGCTCCTCCGGTTTATATCCCGGTAGGTCTGGTCATAAAGCACCGGGTGATTGATTCGCTACCGCTAATTTCTCCTCCATTTTTTGGAATATGAGGAAATGACCTGCGGTATGTCTCTCCCAGCATACACGCCGTTTGATTGGCTAGAGCTTGAACTGCCAGATTTGCGTACACGGGATTTGATTGGCTGCCGCTTCCACCTCAGCTTCAAAAGTTGAACATTGTTCAACTTTGAATCTTGAAAATCCTGAGAATCTCCGCTCGCCTGCCCACAATGCATTTCGGCGAAAAGTGAGGGAAAGTGACGTCACCCCATTCAAAGTGAATGGGCAGAAGCGTTTCAAGATTTTTTTAACGCTGCTGTGGAGACGGCCCGTTAGTGTCACATTGCTTCACATCCACATCAAAAGTTGAAAGACTGTCGTAACATTTGCGGGGTGTTTTTTTAAAACAAGTCTAAATGCTAGCCATCTGTGCTGTTGTAAAGATGTCTACCACTGTCATTGTGCCCCATATTTCATCATTAACCATATGACATGTAAAATAAATGTAAAAGTATGGCCAAAACTACAAGAATAAGATCCATGTTATAACTGAGTTTTCACTTAATTACTGTATCAGCAGACACCACCTACATCAAATTTAGCAGTCTCCAAATAAGCGTCTTGGAGTCCAGTGTAAGACCTGAGGAGTCTGTTGCCGAGGTCCTGGGGGTGCATGTTCAGGTCCCCTCCCAGAATCACCATATCTGCTCCAGCGGAGGTGTGACTAATGGGTACAGAAAAATACATTATAACCAATCCCGCAAATGATGTTAAAACTGTGTCAATAAGTAATAACTGATTAGGAATACTGCAGTTTAAACACTACTGTCAGGGACTGCAGTGTTGCTTTACAGTGACTTGAAAAAACAACAGGGGAAGTTCTGAGAATAATATGCAAATTTACACCAGAGTAAACAAATACTGGCTCAGTCTCTTTACGCAGATTTAACAAACAAAGCCTCTCTACCGGATGAACTGCTGCAGCTCCCAGGCCTGGACCACTCTGTGAGGTAGATAAGAGTCCTTGTCTCTGCAATACTCTGCATGCAGCTGCAATCAATACACAGGGACAACAGCACATTGATCAATAACTGTAGACAATACATAAAGCTAGGGTTGAGAACTGATGTTAGGAAACCTTACATGAGTCACATAGACGTTTGCAGTCAGGCTGCCAATGTTTAAGACAGCCATCCCAACAGCTTTACCTCCAAACCAGTCTCCATGGTGAGCCTAAATATAAGGTAAATACAAAAATAAAAGTTAGAAGAGAAAAAGAAAAGACTGCAAATAATGTCAATTCAGCTTTATATTAGCTAAATATATGTTAAAAGGTAGTTTATCTCCTTTAAGGCATATATGAGACTTGCTCCCCACTCTTTTGCAGACTTGCTAGCTCGATACCTGCCCAAGTTAAACATAACATTCCAGGACTTTTCAAACCCAATCCCCTCAGATCAAAAGGACCAACACATCAGATATTGAGGCCAGGAAACAGATTGTTTACTGTTACATGCCTAATATTTTGTATAGGCACACAAGGCGTCTGAAACAATGGTCCAACTTCAGTAGAAACGAATGCAGACAGCGGATCATCGCCTATATCATACACAGTAGATTCAATTGCACAATGCATGTTTTTATTTTATGACTTGTGCATCTGTTGTTTATAGGAATAAAGTTATGAATTTTGTATTTGACAAATGATGAGATTATTATGTTTACTGGTGTTTTGTATTATACAGAACAGACACGTTCTCTGTCTCAGGCTCTCCAGACTTACCATGTAAGGATAACCATTCAGTGAGTAGCGAAACAGAAATGTGTCATGGATTCTGTGTATGGAGAAAATAGCCAGTCCACTGCCGATGACTCCGCTGAAGAAAGAGAGGAAGAACAGGACATGATGAGAAGTTATATATTCCAGTCTTAACTACAGGTGCAGAATGGAGGTGATTATTAAAGAAAGTCCGATCATTGGTTTACATTTAGATCTACATTTTTCTTACGAATGTGTTATCTGTAGTACTGTAGATGTGAGAACGTATCAACTAGAGTAGATTTCTCTTTGAGTTGCAGAGGGGATTTTCTAATCTAAGGCCTTGGATTAATCTCATTTTTGTGCTTTGGTATGGAGTTCAAAAAGAATTAAGCTGCAAAAGCTAATCCTTTAGGTTGTGCCTAGGCTTCAATACATATTGGGTCTTTGGATCAATGCTATGCAAGTACATTTTTCTGACAGATGGGCACTTCTGAGGCCTTTAAAAAAAAAAAAAAAAAACACTTACTCATGACTTTTTAATGATAGAATAAAAGAGAGTCAACAGATTCAGAAGATATGCACATCGACCTTGGGATGATAGTAAAAATGTACCTCTTGAAGTAATGCGAGTGAGGATGGCTACAGGCGAGTTTCTTTTTCAGGGAGAGATAGTCTTTCTCACTCCACACCTGGAAGAAAATCAATCTGTCACTTAAAAAGTTAAATTTAGCCATCTTTGCATTATTTATATTGCTCATAGGAGTTTACAAGAAGATCAAGGTTGTTTTCATTGCTAATATCACCAAATTCAACTGAGGACATGAGCTAATGAAGGTCAGATGACTTTGCATGGCCTCCACTTACCTCCTGCAGTAAGACGATATCGTGCTCTTCCTTGCACAACATATCTCCAATCATTGCATAGCGCTGAGGACACTGTTTGCTGAGGTAGCGGATCCCCCTGGAAAAAAACAACACATTGTGGTTTACTTAATGCATCAAGACAACAAATCTAATGCATTAAGAATCAATACAAACCACAGCCACTGACCAGCAATTCAGAGAGAGGACCCGGACTTTGACTGAGTCTGTGTTAGCCATGCTGTCCTGGGGGGGGGTCAGTAGATGTGATGATGGGGGGGTCAGATCAGGTGACCTGGGCAGCTCCTGATGTGACATATAAACATTATTTATGTTAGAAGTTTTAAGATCAACTTTTGTTATGTAATGTAGTGGCTCTCAAGGGACATCCAAAGGGGTCACAACATAATTTGTAGATGGTTTTGGAGGGAAGGAAAACATCATTTAGAATGGGAAATGCTTTTTATATTAAATCGCCTATATTTTTTATATAATTTGTGCTTTGCTGTGGGGTTTACAGCAAGCGTATGCCAACATTTTTAGAAACCAAATAGCATTTAACCACTTGCAAGGATAGTGCATCTATCTGTGCTAACAGTTTATGAGCATAGGCATGGCGGGGGGTTGATAACACAATCTGCATTTTTCTGGGGGTTGCGATTTGAAAAGCTTGAGAATCACTACTAATCCTACTTGGACACATTAGGTGGCATGTCTGGGTGCACAAAAAGTTACAATAAATAAATATATCTACAGTATTAAAATGGGAGTAATCAGGCGAGGAAGAACAATATTACATTTTAATAACTGGAACTTATACATCAAATGCACACATTATTTCAATTAAAAAACTATGAACTGAAAAAGCACAGGCACATGTCTCAGAAGGAAATAGTGGTAAAAGACTTTAAAATAACCATTACAAACTGCAAAGTAAGCACAAGAAGTGCAAACTAAGCAGGTCGCAGGGTGACTTTAGTTCAATATATTGCCCTTTAATTGCTTTAATGATTCAGCAGATTTTTCACATTTAACTGGAAAACTAAGCATAGTCTGATTTGCTACTCTTGAAAAAAACACTGTGAAAACAATTATATTTTACAATACTAAAATAATGACATGGCATTCATAAAAGCATAGTCAGTTGGATCTGAAAATAGGCAATTATGTTTGTTTTTTTAAGAATGTATTACACGGAGCTGACCCTGACAGGCCTTGCTGTGTCATGCAGCGGGGAAATGTTGATCTTTTCAAAAAGAGACAAAGTAAAGAGGCGATTGCATTCACTCCTCTCTCCTGGGAGTGCAACAATACACCAGCCATAAACAGTGCTGACATGGCTCTGCTCAGTCTGGAGAAATAAGGGGGAAGCAGCAACGCAGTGAGGCATCAAGGGGCTTTGGTGTCAGAGGGAGAATGGGTTGTTCAACACAGAGAGAGCAAACAGAATAAATACACAATTTCCCAGCAATTCCTGAGGCTAAACATTAACCTTAAGTTGAACAAAGCATCTGGTGAAGGATGTGTATTCACAAAGGAGTGTGCAGATGGGGGATGCCGTAGCCAGGTAATAGTGAGTGGCACTGGAACTGGACTTTAACCTATGAGGTACACATAATGACACTACATCTCAAATAAACTGGTACATTGGGTCTAATGTCACTTTAATAGCATGCATGTCACTTGGATATCCATATACATTAGACCAGGTCGAGTTCAAAAACCTAAGACTTGTCAAACTTGCATTAAAGAAGCAAGAGAGTCTTTAAGACACAGTTACAGTCTTGTGAAGCCTGTATTTTAATTGGGTCAGGTAAAGTACAGGGATTTAGCAGGGAAAGTGGATAAAGTTTTGGCTAACGCAAATGCTACACTTACTAGCCAACTCTTTGTTAGTGGATACTTTGATGAAAGCCTTACAGTCACCCTCATTATCAGGTAACGTCAACTGTTAAGAGACCACTGTTAATCACCTACGTTACAGGTAACGTTGACGTATCGTTAAGCAGTATAAACCTTTATATATACAGTCTATGGTATAAACACGTTAACAACTCTAGCTAGCCATTGACGTACTTTAGTACAGGTACTGTGGACGGCTCCAGTTTCTCATTGCTTGTTACCAACATGTTTTATTTATTGATAAGCTAATATAACTCACCTTACGAAACTGTTGGCGTCAGCTGAAGTTAAGGGGACCGTTTGTCCCTTCGTGCCGAAATGTGTGTTTTGGCTGTCGACCCAAAACCCTTCCTGTTTGCGTGCTAGTTAGAAAACTATTTGTGAAATCTTACATAAATAATATCACCATGGTTGGTTGGTGAGCATCTCCTATAACACACACTAATTTAGCAGTGTTTGGCCAATTGCATTGCTACGTGCCCTCCTACCACTGTTAAGTCAGCTGGTATATAAATCATTATGCAGTTATTTCCGGTTGTGACCTTCCTTCAAAATAAAACAGGAACTTGATCAGTGTCCGTATTTCACCGATTGAACAACGATGAGCACACACGTATACACGAATAGTAACTCAGATGAATGTATTGGAAACAATGGTTCGAATTTAAACGAATAACAATTTATTTCCGCAACATTTTCATTGGAGTGATTCACCAACATCTGGTTTTATTTTAAGCTAATTTAAGAAACGTTTCCGGTTGGAGGTGACGTTCTGTCAGTGAAAAGCTTGGTGCATGCAAGTAAAAGTCCTTAATTCAAAGCCCGAAAAGTATAAAAGTATTATCAGCAAAATTAACTTAAAGTTCCAAAAGTAAAACATGCAGTAGGCAGTAAAGTGGTCCTTGTTAAAAATAGTTAATAAAAACTAGCAAAGTTCACCCTCAAAATGTAGTGAAGTTAAAAGTAGGCTAATAGAAGAAAGGTAACACCTCCATGTTTATTTATAGTATTTACTGAACCAAATGTTGTATGACCTTATTAATAGCATAATGATAGTATATATTATTCGGTTGTGCTATATTCCTTCATACTATCAAATATTGAAGGTTATGCTCTATTCTGATTTCAATATAGGCTACCGTCCGTCCAATATACCAAATTCCCTCACCTGTCAGATTTTATAATGCTAGGCTTAACATAAGATACAAGCTTTTGTATTGGCAATACCGGTCACAAAATCTGATTGGTCACAGAATTTGGTGCAACAAGACCCAATTGAAAACTGTGAAATAAATGCTAAGCTACACCTTTCTTTCATTAAAATTGGTAGAATCTGACCTTGAGCGAGCTCATATACACGACATTTAGTTTCATAGGTGTGTGCGATAATAAAATAAAATGAACTGTCATGGACAAAACTAATTTACAAACATCTTTTAATACGTTTTCTGGGGGGGAAATGGCCCCAAAGGCACCATGCGTCTTTTATTGTTAGATACATTTGTTTGATTACATAGTCCAAACTCTACTTTGAAGTATAAAATTGCAATGCACAATGGTAACAAAGACAACAGTAAACCACCTTAAACCAAAAAAAACAAAAACAGAAAAACTGCCCACACCATTCAGAATATGATACATTAGATATCTCATTATTAATTATCAATATCAGCACAATCACACATTATTTTCAGTGAAGCATATGGCAAACACTGAAAGTCAAAAGACAACAGAATCAAAACGAAACATTAATATTGATAATGGCGAAAAATGTCTGTATAAAAGATAAATTGAGAGACCTGCTAAAGTAGAAGTGTTATTGAATCTAGCTTGTGAAATATGACATTCAAAGCCAGGTGCAACTTTTCCGCCATACAATATCTTAAATTTGAACTCTTTATAGCACAATTGTCCAGTGAACCACACAGAGTAGACACTTGTCTAGCAGGATCCATGAAGAGACAGTTCTCTTGTCTCTAATACGGGGGCCTGCAATACTTTAAATATCTCCATCACAGTGGAAAATGATCAATACACCTCCAGTTCCCCACCCTGCCCTCCCACTATTTATTTTCCAACCCTATAAATAACAATCAATCGTCATACTACACAGCACAGAGACAATAGCCCTCATTCAAGACAGTTATTTTGGGTTTGTAAAAAAGAATTGTCTTAAATATCAAAACTGAACTTTTATCAACAGATGCAGCTTCTCCACACATTACAGCGGAGAACAGTGAAGCAAATGAACCAGCTTCACAGCATACAATGTCTTTTTTAAACAAAAGAAACAGTGATTAACTTCTCTCCACTTAAACCATGGTCTCTGTGCTGAGTTACTTGATCACAAATATGAACAGAAATCCCCCTCCAAAAAATACTCCTATGTAACACATATTCCTTTAGCATCCACTGACTCACAGTACAGAAACAAATGATTTTTCAATTAGGCTACATAACTCAAGGCAGAAAATAAGCACTGCTGTTGCTTCACCACCCCTTCTTGATCTTTTAAGTGCAACCAAGCACACGTCTTCAAACAGAGAGAAATAACAGGGGATCTTGTAAGGATGGCAAAGCCCTGGCTTTATGTCTGGCAATGGTACAAGGCATCCCTAGTGTCAAAAGTCAGTAATAGAAAGATGCTTGTAAGACCTGATTTTTAAAACTGTGTAATAAAACATTTAAAAAAAGCAGAAACTAAATAGTACGGTTACACAAAAACCTTCTCCCTATACATGTGGACTGTAAAACTTGGGACGATCTTTTGTAAAAACAATAGGCTATGAAAATTAGTACTCCTATCCCATTCCTCTGTGTGCCCAAATATAAAAACCTGCTCAAAAGATGTCAATCTAAGAGGTTTCTTTCCAATTTTTTTGGACAAAATACACCAGTCTGACTATTTTTCTGTTTGTTTAAAAACAAGAGGTAGTAAAAAAAGGCAATCCAAAGTGGCAGGCAATGATAAAATCTTTGGAGAAAAGGCACTTGCTTTTCTTACAAACCTACTGTAACAACACCACTTGGCTCTGGTTTTCCCCTTCCGTGGTCCTGTTGTCTCTCTACTTCTTCAATCTTATATACACTTCTCTTACTGCTCAGAGTGTGATCCCCTTGCATACTAAAACAGGTCTTTTCAACCCTAAACACATTCTCGTTCCCTCAATTAACATTTCAAGCTCCATCAATTACCTTTGCAAAAGTGACCCACTTGATCTAAAGCATGTTTAAACACATGGAAAATAGCTGGATGTTCGAAAAATCCGTTATTCTTCAACATTTCTTTGTGTGTTGGCACGTTGAGATTCACTCTTTTTTTTCCTTGCGAACACCTTTAAAGCAATAAATGTGTCCATGTTAGTTCGGTCTAGCAATGTTTGAATGTTTGTTTTTCCTGGATGGTTGAGCTGGTCAAAGAGAGATTGTTTCACGCTTTTGTCTGGCTTTTCCAGAACCTCCCTGAAGAGCTGTTAGTCTTTAACAAGTCTGTAGACGTGATACTGAGCTCCGTGTTCACTCGTGGAAACCTCAAAAACAAACGCTATACAGAGCAAGGTCTCCTGGGTGTCACGGTTCGTCACCACCTGAAGGGCAAAAGGAAAAATGTCAAATGAAGCAGCCTGTTTAGAAATACTGAAGTTAAATATAATGTGATTGTTTCTTTATTTTGTAAAAATAACAGTTTTGGGAAAAAGGCAAAGGTTGGCTTTCTTGGAGAGAATTGAAGATTCATGGTGCCTCTCTCACACCTGTACCTCAAATGTGAAGCTACAGCCAGCAGCGGATGAGTTTAGCTTAGCTTAGCGTAGCTAGTGTAAAGGCTGACAAAAGGAAGAAAGAAAACTAGCCTGGCACTGTTTTTAGGTCACACAATCGTCTAAACACACATCTAAAGCCAAATAGTAAACAGATGTATCTAATTTGTTTATTATGAACGTTTAAGTGATCATATAGCTAACTGTACGTTTCCTCCTGTTTCCAGTCTTTGTGCTAAGCTAGGCTAAGAAGATGCTGACTATAGCTTCATATTATGATGAGATTTTTGGACCAAAACACTGGAAACACATGAAATACACTGAAGGGCTTCGAATTGATGTCCGACACTGAAGATGTGTTCCAAGTTAAGGTGGTAGAATTAGCTAAGACAGCCTCTGCCCAAACAACATTGAAGTTAAGACATATGCCTATCAACATTGTATTAACTGAGTTCAAACTGTCCCCAAGGAGTCATCAACCTTATTGATTGACTCCAATGTGTCTTTCCTGATCTCTGACCCTCTTCGTTAACTCTGGTCCTATAGCTAAGACACACCACAGCTGAAAGCCAGTGAGTAAAGAAAGGGCCTGCCTTATCACACAGAGACATTGTAAAAGTCCAAGAGGAGTGAGAGGGTAGGTAAAAGCTGAGAGGATTTAAAGTAAAACTAAGGGACGTATGAATAATTTCCTATCACAAAATTGACCATACAGACATGAGAGTGGTATCTATCATTTTATCTAAACTTCTTAACCCTTCTATTGTCTTCGTTTTCCCCCCCTTACTTTGGTGTTCGCGGTCAAATTTGACCGGTCCTGTTAATATTACATTAACACAAAAACCATTAATCATCACCAAATTTCATTTAACACCCTTTCGAACTCTAAATATTGTATCAGACTACTGGTATACATGAAAAACTGCAGTAAATATACAAAGAATAGACACTGAACATGTATTGCGTGTGCCAGGTGTGATCCATGTGGGGGGATGGGCACATAGGAGCGGGAAATGTGTCAAATTGTTCTCTGTATGTGTGTGTGTGTGTGTGTGTGTGTGTGTGTGTGTTTGTTTGTGTGTGTTTGTGTGTGCCGGGTGTGATTCACATGGGGGGATTGGGCACATAAGGGGGGGGACACATCTAGAGTATGTGTTTGTGTGTGTGTGGGTGTGTGTGTGTGTGTTTTATCTGATCCGGATGGTTACAAATTCCTTTTCTTTATGGCGGTCATTTTTGACCGGGAACACCATGGGTGTTACAAAGTTGACTAAATCATCCAAAATTCAATGAAAGTGGTGATCAGCTATTTGATATGTTCAAATGTCTACTGTGAAGGATATCATAAAGCCTTAATGCAATCGAATGTAAAACAAAACAGTTATGATTGATGAAAGTAGTAAATCGGTCAGATTTTACCCGAAGACAACAGGAGGGTTAAAGTAAAATAATATTAAATACATTTCCCAACATGTCCTTCCTCCTTCAACAATCTCAATTTAAACGTGTGTTACCTGTAGGATAGTGAAGTTTTCGAGAACACTATTCATCATGTATTTTTCAGGCAAGTGTTTGAGTTTGTGGATAAAGTTGATCATGTACTCGCACATAGGAGAACGATGGATCCTGTAAACACACCTTCCTCCCTCCAGGCGGGCGTACTCTGTCTGAAACACACAATTATAAACAAACAAGTAGTAAATGAAAGATGAGCGGCTGGCTGTATATGCGTTGTTTGAGAAGAGAATACAGAACCAGTGCACGCTCTTACCTCTACTTTCTCCACAACCTGCTTGCCGAACGAGCAGACTTTGGTTGAAACGGTGATGGTCATGTTCTCCAGGCTGCTGTACTGGCTGCTGACACCATAGAAAGAGCCAGGGCCGTCCTGCATGCCGCTGCTGTTCAGGTCCGCCTGCAATCATTTGTTCAGATTGGTTATGATCATCACATACTTGGATGTAACTCAAATGTCGTCGTATCCTGGGGTTGCACAATGATTTTAGGGTATTTTCAAGTTTTTCGACAAACTTCTTGAGACTAGATATTTGTGGACAACATAAAGTGTGCAGAGACAATGCAGTTAACCAATCTATTTATAAAAACACTGTTGTTTCATAAGAAAAGGAAATGGTTTGCATAAGCTGTAGTTTGCTACCACTTGTATGTTGAAACATGTCTGCCAAGATATTTAAATAGGCGAGTTTGAAAATTGTGTTGTAGGCCTCTCAGTACACAATCCAGTCACTGATAGAACAAAACATTGACATGTTATGGGCTTTTTGTCAGAAAAATGTAATTACATTTGCAATTATTTAAAAATAATTTACATAGTCAGTTTTGTATTTTTAAATATGGTTGCTCTATTGGTTTGCACTAAAAAGTTGTACATAAATACATTTCACACTTTTCCATATTTTGACAATAAGCATAAAACAGACAAAGAAAGACAAATGCACAAAGCAATGAATAACTGGTCGATGATCTTCTAAAACTCACCCAGAATTTAACTAGGAAGAAAGCGTTCTGAGGGCCTTTCTCATAAAGATCTTTGAGCCCGCCCTTCTTCTCAGGGAACTTGTCGTATATCTGCCGGATGTCCACAGCCTCGAGGAGCGGGTCGCTGTAGGAGGGGTTAGTCTGTCCAATGTGGACAAACAAGTGTTTGCTGTACTGCAGTGGACAGAGACAGGAGGGACGAGAGGGCGGGGTTAACCTTAGGAACATCAGCTGCAGAACTACATATGATAATCTGCTAACTTTTGAGGAAAAGGAAAGAGGAGAGTATTAGGTTGTACTAATATCCTGTTTTTTTTTTTTACCTTTTTGTTGTAGTACAAGATCGTTTTTCAACATTAACATTGACTTGTAAAAAACATTCTAACTATTTCATTAGGATCAGGAGCAACAAACACGTTCATGACATTCTTCTGTTAACTAAGCTCTGTGCCTATGGGAAGAAAAAAAACTTCCCCTGGCCCCCCATCCCTGTGCTGTTATCTATCTATTTTTGTATGCGGGAAGCCTTATTGTGCATTTTCACTCACGTTTTCTGGGTCTCTCTGGACCTCCATGAAGGCTAAATACTCCAGCATCCGCAGCTTTGAGGAGGCGATGGTCCGGTCCTGCCACACCGGCACTGCAGTAGCAGACGGAGGAAGGGGGGGCGCCAGGGCCTCATAACCTAGAGGCACACACACAAACATTTAAAAACAAGTATATTTTGGTTACATTTGTTTTATTCTCGCAGATTGTTCCCTCATACTTACTTGGTATGGATTGCTGTACAGGACCTGATAGGCTTGGGTATGGGGGCTGTGCAAAAGATTTGATACTGAAACAAAACACATCTTTCAGTGAGACAATGACTTCCACAACAGACAATCAGTAGCAGATGTTAACGGCACTTTGGTCATTCTATATTTGTATTTCTGATAAAAGCATTTTATTGTGAAAATCTGTTAGTGTCAAAATATGAGCTTGTGTTGTTGCACCAGCTAGGCGTAAGTCCACCTCCTTCATTGCTTCTTAATGATGCAAAATAGCATAAATTAATTGTGCATTTGCATCCCCCATTTCTTTCTTCTCAATTGAATTTGAAGCAGTTAATTTGCCTGGTGGCAGTTTACATCAGTGCAGGAAACATACAGTACAGTGCAGTGATGAAGGAGAGTTAGTTCTGGTTTGTGCTCACAGCGGGACTTCGGCTAGGGGGAACTTACGAATGACTGGTGCGGCCAAGCCCATGATTCCTTCCCGGGTTGAGATCTAGAACCAGCCTGGTGTACAAAAAAGTGATCCGTTAAACATGCCCTGCAATACCCACCTGCTATAGGGTTAGGTTACTATACCTAACCCTGCACTGCCTCAGTCACTCTTAATGCACTTTTTACTCATCAATAGCACCAATCTCTCTCCTCATGATCTAAATATAATCCCACAAGCATCCTGCAGGGTCAACAGAGGGGCTTACTTACTCCTGAGAGGGTCCAGGCTGTCCTGGGATTGAAGACCAGAACTGCAGAGCAAGAAAATAAATGTTACTTGCTTTTGTAAGACGAATAAATGTTGTTTCTACTCAGATATTCAAAACAAAAATATGTGTAAGAGAACAAGAGGTGGGCTAACTCTGGGTGGCCCGTAGGGGGCAGGAGGCAGTGGCGGAAGGTGATTCTTTATCATACTCGGGGAGACGATCTGTGCAGACGACAGTGCTGCCATGTTCTGCAGGGCTTTGTCTTTAGACGCCTGATCCTGTAGTGAAACAGAGGAATAACATGAGTCAGCCACAAGAGGGCAGTATAACCTAAACACCACCTACTGCTGTATAGTGGAGTGAATAGACTAACACAACCATGTATTTATTTGTATGTGCTTGATAAATAATTAAAACAACACTTGAATGTTGACTATGTTTCACAATGAGCCTCAATAAAAACAGCTATTTTAATTATTCCAATAGACATTTTCTTTTTATTGCAGTTGACAGAATGAAGCAAAGGTAAGAAGAAAAAGCTGCATTGGTATTTAATCTCAGGTCAGAGAATAATTGAATGTCAGTGTGTTACCAGGATCACCACAGGAAAACTAGAGTAAAGAGAGGGCATTTGTATGAAATGCAGGTTTGTATTTGTATTGCATTAACAAATTGTTCCATCAGCAAATTCAATTCCTGCTCTGCAATGAAAGCAGTACTATGTCAGTGATATACAAAATATATAGAAATATAACATGATGAATGAGACGTATTTCATAATTGACAAAAATATCAAATCTTTTATTTTTTTTTTAAATTATCTTGCTTTTTTATCGTGTTTGCAAAATAATGCACTCACACTAATTTAGCTGTGACTTTACAATGTAAGGACAGATGCCTCAGAAGCGAGACCCCCGAATCAAATAGACACCTTAATGCAAAGCAAGCAAGAATTTGGCTTTTTGGGAGAGGCTGGGGGGGTTACACTACATCAGGAGGGGTGGCAGCAGTATGGTGTTCAAAGCGTGGCTGTTTCCTAAGCATTGTTTCATTACAGGATAGTAACGGGGCGGGGGACGCCATGCCAGCAGAGGGCCACAGCAAGGGGACAGTGCACTGGTGCTGCCAAACAAAGGGAGGAAGGAAGCATATTGCACAAGTCAGATCCACTTACCAAATTCATCGCCTGGATCAAAAAAGAGAGAAACCATTAGTACTCAGCAGTTCTAAATGATGTTTTAAGATTAATTAGTTTATGTTGATATAAAATGTGTTTTTTAATCCTGGTCTGCCTCTTCTGTTTTTAAACTGAAAAGTGGTGGGTAAAATCTAAAATGTGCCCTGGTTCAGTACTAATTAAGGTGTTAGAAGAAGGCTTAAATACGGAATTATCACATCTTTCAAAGGTCCCCATACTGTTTTTCATCAATATATTATAGGTCTCAGATATACAAAACATGTCTCTGAAGTGTTTGGCTTGAAATACCAAACAGATCATTGCAGCATCCCATAATCCCCTCTGTTTCAGCCCTGTTTCAAAAGTGCTGATTCTCTGTGTGTTACTTTAGATGAAAATAAGGAGCCACTCCCCACGCCCCTCTGAGAGATATTTGGTTAAAAAGAACACAATGGTGCTCTAGGAGGAGATTCAGGTGATCAGGTGGGTGGGGGTTACCTTGGTTGGTGATTGGCTAATGGTTACACAAGCCAAACAATCGTTATGACATCATAAAGTGGCCAAAATCTGATCAGCTCATTTTCAGACAGGTTTTTATATAAATGGATCAGGACAAAAAGTGAGCGAATCTTTTTTCTTGAAACTTTCAGAATCTCTTTACACAGAGGGGACACATATGTATAAAAGACATGAAAAGGTGTATTTTACATAATAGGTGACCTTTAAAAACTGTTGAGTAAGTATATGTTGCCAGAAACTTTAACATTACATTATCTAATGTAATCTATTATCTAATTTCATTGGACAACATCAAAAGGTTGAAATAATACACTGTAGTTCATGGAATTTAAAATCATGTATAAAGACCATGAAGGAAAGCGTAAGGCTATATTATTATACGGATTTTCTTTTAGTAAACCCAATAAAAATACAGTATAATTTGGGAGCACAACCCCTTATAACACTAAACTTTTTCCACACTACAAGATTGACAGAGGAAAAACATCAAAGAGCAATTAGTTCAAAGATGAAATCCTTGGAGGTATACTGCATTACAAGGCTTCAGTGTATTACGTCCAATGGACAGCTGGTACTACAGTGTGTAGCCATTTCAGCAGTAACACTTTAACTTCCTGTTTATTCAGCTGATGCTACAGTTTCCCTTTAATCCCCAGGGGAAGGAGTTGCTCTTTGTCTGCCATCGGAACTTAAAAGAGTGGCTTGGAAACTGTGTTTGTCTTTGCCAAAAAAACAATTTGGCTCAACTTCATAAAGGCTTGATAAACACTTGAACAAGGCGTTGGCAGAGCTGCGACTGCATACACTCTTTATAAGTCGATATTTAACATTTAAAATATACAGGAAAATATATATGAACAGCATTTAAAGATTAATTTGAGTGCTGCCAATGCTGTCCTCAAACTAAGGTGAACTTGTTAATCATAAATGCTAAATTACATATAAAGTCAAAACATTTAATATGCATGATTTGATGTAAATGGGGTAAACAAGAACACAGAAGAATGAGGATATTTTTTTCATATTACACATTTTTGCTAGAAAAAAACTGTCAACTTATACTTTATGCCATGTTGTGTGAAGGAGACAAAATACAGATGGTTGTGTGTGCAACAAAAGTAATCACAGACGGAAGAGAAGAGGAGTAAAGTCACCAAACAGAATATAATGCAATCCTTGAAAAATCTAAAACCTGATTTTAAACCATTGTATGTATGCCTTTTGGTCAAATCAATTTTAAGAGTGTATTTTCCACTGGCATGGTTCAGACATGCCCTAGATATGAAGATAATGTGTTTAAAAAATAAAGTGATTTTTAAGCTCTGCAAACATTGGAATTTAAACCTAATTCTTCATACCATAATGTGACACAATGTAAGAAGAGTGGGGGGGGGGGGGGGTAATATGGCTGCTCTGTTCTGTAAGTCCTGTGACTTTAATACAAGGATGGAGAGCATTGCATGATGAACGGTCTTAATCATTTGCATTCAAGATTTGTTTGACATGTATGGAAAGCTCACAAACTTGTATCACTGGATGAACAAGTTAAGACTTCCAACTGCACTTTATAAAATCACAAGATCAAAGTGTGTGTAAGGGAAGTAAAGAGCTATTGCTGGTTAAACTAAACTACATATGACACAAGTGAAAAGATTGTTAATGTATCTTTTCCACTTGTCCACTGCCGGATTAGTCAAAAAAAGGGGTTAGGTTCAACTGAAGTTATCACTAGAGAATGCCACAATGTCTCCAGTATTCACACAGGTGAGTGAAAGAGGATAAACAATTAGGAACAAAAGTACAAGGAAAGAACAGTGGGGCTGAAGGGACTACAAAACAAGTCATAAGGAGTCATATGATGAAGATGAATGCAGTTTATCAGAAACAGACACATTGAAGGAACTAAAGGTATGGAAGTAGAAAGAGTTTTAGGGAAGAGGAAGTCTTAGAAAGGTACAGTATGCTGCAGAGGCTGGAACAACATGCAGCTGGATGACAGTTCAGTGGGCTCATCATATCAGCTAGTGTAGCATTCCCTTAAAGCAGAAACTATACTATTTAACTACTGAGTGGTGATGTTAGTCAAAAGGCCCTGATACACCAGGCCGAAATCGACTGTTTTCGTTAGTCGGACGACGAAGCGTGCCCTGTCGCCCAAACTCAATTTGATGTGTCCCGCACCGTCGGACGTGACACGCCTTATTTGGCCTTTCATGGCCGACGCACGGCCGATTCAACATGTTGAATCGGCCGTGCGTCGGCCACAGGCAGTCGGACAAATAAATCACTCTGATTGGCTGTTCAGCTAGCGAATCAGTGCATGAGAAGCGAAACGGTTGCTTGAGAATGTCTTCCACAAGCAACACTCCAATGGCTGATAGCTCCAGTACCGCACGAAACATGTTTTCGATGGACGAGAGTGAAAATGGAACGCACACGCTATTTGTTGTTTGTTTAGATCACGCAGTCTGTTCTTCTTCTCTGTGTTCCGGTTGTTGCCTCTTTTGAATGACGAATACACACTACCGCCGCCTGCTGGTAAGGAGAGTTATTGCCACTCACGCATGCACAGTTCGTACGTGCTCGGCTGAAGTCTTTGCGGTGCGGTGTGTTCCAGTGCGACACATGGCCAAGACGCAGGAGAACACGGCGACGCAACAGTCGGCGTCGGCGAGTTCTCTGGTGACTGCTTGGTGTGTCAGGGCCTTTACAAGTAATGGAACTCTTACCTAGAAGTTAGAAAGCGTTGTGTGTGTGCAATACATGCATGGTACGGTAGCAAGACAGTGTCGGAGAATGACCTCCTTAAGCATAGTTTTATATCTGATTTATACTTCAACAATGTATTTGACTTGCATTCACTTATCTAGCTGAAACTGATTGCACAAAAGCAAGTGATACTTTTTTCTCACAAATATGGTGGTTAGTGCAAAGCCAAGCCTTTACCAGCCCCCGCCGAGCCCGCGGTGAAGCGCATACCTTTAGCTTTGACTGGATCTCGCGAGATTTTCTCCGGGCGAGAACCTGCAAGTGGCTAGAAACCTGCACAGAGGAATAGCCAAGAGGAGGGAAGAGGAAAAGGTGACAGGGAGAGAAAAGACAGGGGAAGAAAGAGAGAGAGAAGCCGTAACCAAAGAGGAAAGAGACGCCCAGTCAGTGTAGCCCGGAGGCTGTTGGTGGCACCTACCTTTATACCCGCCTGGTATTCACGAATTTTCTTCCGTGCTAACACCTGTATGTGACTAGAGACCTAAAGGGGTGCGAAACAGTTTTTGAGCATAAAAACAACATGCACTCAGATGCGTTCACACACACATACATGCACGTGCAGACACACACACATGATCACAGAGATATCATCTATAGTAGTTCATGCAAACAATAACAAAAATATGGGTTGGCAATAATCTATTTTTTGGAAAATCCTCATGCAAAGACCAAAATGATGGATGAACTGATCCCATTTAGCCTGTGGACCTAAAGCCTGATAAAGCTACCCCCATTGTTTTCCAAAAAACACACAATGAGTCAACCTGTTGCACTGCGTTTTTATTATTATACACACAAGCACCGTAGTTTAAGTGAGTTTGACTCAATCCCACATCTGCAACGTGGTGATTCTCAAAGTAGGTACATTTTTTGAATCTATAATTGTTATATAATGAGCCCAAATCTAACAAATCTATTACACTTAAATATGTTTAATATCCTTCTAAAAACATTTCTCTTGAGCTGGTATATATATGTCAAATTATTCCAAGGGATATACATAAGGGGGTCCCGATATAGTTCCATCTTGTAAGTAGTCCTACACCAGTACATCAAATGTGTATTAATCTGCTGATCCTGAATCGGACAATAGTTCCCAATTAATACACTATTTACTCCTGCTTGAGTAGTGTGCACTTACAACTAGAGTGCCTAGCTGTTTTAAGAAACCACTTTCCCTTTTTAAAAAGTTAAACTTTTAATTTGTAACCAACAGCATTTTAAAATGTGCATATTCAGAAGAAACAGAAAAAGGTTTGTGAGCCACAGACATGGTAGGTTAATTTAAATTGATCCTGACATTTTTTGGTTTTGGTCTTTCATGGGATGTTTTGACAAAAATAAATATTTACAGTATATATCAAACCAGACTTGTACATTACTTGTGGTCCAGGCTTTTTGGTAATTTAGTTTTGTCATCTGGATCTAAATAATTCTATTAAAGGTGGGGTAGGTAATTTTGGAGACACCAGCTCGAGTGCACTAGAATTTGAAAATACACAGCCAGAAAAAATCTGCCACTTCCTTACAGAGCCCCTCCTCCAACACACACGAACGCGCACATGACCAATGAGGGCACGAGATAAGTTTGTGCACAGATGGAAGGCTGACAGGCAGGTAGGCCATCCAGTTATTTTAGCCGTCGTGCTTTTTACAGTACCACGGCTTCCACAGATGACATTTTTTTATGGATTTTTTGTCAAAGCACTTAAGATATTCATTGCTATCGGGATGTTAAGAGCATTCCATGGAATATAACAAAAAGTGTATCTCGAGCCGGTTTCTCAAACTTACCTACCCCACCTTTAAGTATCTAAGGCAGGGGTGTCAAACTCAATTTAATTGCGGGCCACATTAGCATTATGGTTGCACTCAAAGGGACGGTTGTAACTTAAAGACTATATAAATATACATATATAAATATATAATATATATAAAATAATGTATTATATTACATGATTGGGTCTGCCTTGGATTATTATTGCCTTCTTGGCCAGGTCAGCATTGAAAATGAGATTTTATCTCAATGTTTTTATCTGGTTAAATAAAGGTTAAATAAAAAATAAAAATAAATTATCAGTTCTGGTAATAAATTCATAAATAACTACGTCTGAAAGCAGAAGTCTAGGGCACATAATTTAAAGCAAATATTCAACAATTACACCAATTGTATTGTATATTATATTCTTTGCAAGCTCTTGCGGGCCACATAAAATGAGGTCAGGGATGGCCTTGAGTTTGACACCCCTGAGCTAAGGTAGCTGTTATGTCTTGTACTGTCAGCAACTAAAAGCAAACTCATGCAATATTATTTTATTCCAGTCATTAAAACGTGTGTACCTGTTTTCTTGTGCGGGTTTTGCCCGTCCTCAGCTTGATGTACCTTGCTATCAATTCATTGCGACCTGGAACACAAAACAGAAAGGAAGGTCAAGCACAAAAACAATGACATTCAAATGACAAAGGATAATTCATTTTTACATCATTGACAGTTCCCTTAAATGGACAGAAGGTGGCACTCTGGTCATTTGTTGAATAACCATTTTCCAGCAGTGTGACCTTTCCCAGAGCTCCTCAGACCTGAGGCAAACACTTTGTCACAGGTCACAGGCCACAATAACACCTCAGCTTACTATAGCAGACTGTAATGTTTAATGTTCTGTGTTTTATTTGAAGTAAAAAATAAATAAGGTATTAAAGTTTTGTTTTTGTTTAGTTTTATTAGCTTGTTTTCACACCCACTTATTGTCTGCTCACGTGGTCCTGAAGCCTAATTATAGAGAGTGCTAAGAAAACGGAACCATGTTTTTCATCACATAACATCTACTCTCGACATTCTGCACAAACAGGTTGTGCAGAGAACAACTTCTATTCTGGGATTTCATGGTCCTCTTTGCTGTGCACAACATTTAACAAGCACTGCCTTTTCAGCAAAATGCAGCTGGAATCAGGCAACAATCACCATTGGGTAGATGAAGTGCAACACGCATTATTATGTTGTCTTGAGGGGAAATCAGTCCATCAGTGTTTTTCACTTCATTTCTTTGCCAGGTCACGTTTACTGGGTTTCTGTGGCTGAAAGTTGGGCCAAAAGGAGAGGTCGGACTGCTGTATCATTATGAATAATGACCTTAACTCTTCAAAACTTGCTTACAGAAATTGAAACCAATAAAAATCGGTCGAGATGTTCCCCCTTAAACCCACACACAAAAGACTGTGTGTCTAGGAAGTTGAACAGTCTTTGCAGTATCCAGACACACAATGACAGGAGAAACAAGTCCTGGTTTTTCACACACTCTTTAGCACTTGGCCTCCAGAAGGCCCTGGTTAGTGCAATTACCATACAAGTCCTGCAGGCCATCTCCGGCAGGCTTGCAGCCCTCACCGTCCTCTCCAAAAGAGTCAGCCGGCGGTGGGCCAGCAGAGGAACTGTCTGCCGATACTCAGCTAGCCCGTCCCCCTCTGCCCCGGGCCAGGGATGGACACGCCCGCTCCAGCGCCTCCGCATTCCTAGCATTCCTCTAAGCCTGTCACATCTGTGCTAGCCAGTCTGATTGGCTTGGGCCTGCGAACACAGCCGGGGCTCGGGTGAACACACACATGCACTTCCAGCTCTGGGAGTAGCAGGGGTTAGAGCCGGGGTGAGGGCCATTAGGTTGGGGTAGGGGGTCGTCGGTCGAAGGGGCAAAAGGGGCAGCTGATGCAGTAACTCTTGGAGGAAACACAAAGCCATAACTGTCTCTGCCAACAACTGCCACCTGGCAGCAGCCCCCTATTCCCAAAACAACACCAGCGTGTGACCCTGCACTCAACGGACTGCAGCACCTGCTGCCGGCCATCCCAGCGCAGGATGGCAGAGGAAGAACAATGCCAGCCCGACCCCCGCGCAACTGTCACTCTCAATCTCTTCAGCAGAGGAGCAAAAGGGGGGGACACATTACATTGTCCCAACCACAGAGTTCTGCCTTTAATTTCACAGATATCTCATTGCAAAGTACTGACATACAGTATGAACTACAGTTTGACTAAGAAAGAAACAGATAAGAACTTCTTGGTGTTCTTAATTAAAGAATTTAATTTAATTAAAATGAAATACACAGCAAACTTTTAGACTTTGAAAGGTCCAGAAAAAAATGTAATCTCTTATTCAAGAAATTATGGTTAAAAGTTAAAAGTAACAGACAATATGCATTTTTCTTAGAGTGTTTAGCTCAGAAATTATATTGCGTGGTAAATAAAAAATGTGTTTGGTTCACCTGTTGAACAGTGCACTTCTGTGGTTGTGAGCTGAGATGATATCTCTTTTTTTTCAAAACATCTGGTTGGTTTTGTAATATTTTAAATTACAGCTTTTGTTTTATATGATATTTAGTTTGCTGCAGAAGCACCACTTTAAAGCAGGCTGGACGAATCACTTCAGTGTTTGATTTCAAAGTTTCAAATAAACTTTTTATAAAGTTTAATGTTAAAATTATTTGTAAATGGAACTGTAAGAGACATTCTCTGACACTACTCTTTCTGCTCGCTGGAAAAAGACAAACCTGATCCTGATAGAACTGCAACAAATTGACAAAAGCCTGGATTTATCATCAACTGTTACATCCTAAAAGTTATATTGGACTAACTCATAAAAACAAAAATGTGATGGGAGCAAAATCAACGCTGAGATAGTGAGTCCCAAATCCCTCATCCTACACTTTAACCTTTGCACTTGAAGAACATATACAACACATTTTGAGAGGCAACATAATCACTCAGCAGATCTGTGTTCAACCCGTCCTCAGACACAAAAAGCTGCTGAATAGTTTATTCAAGAGACTCTCGATCCCTAAAGTGTGGGTATGATGCATTCATAAAAAAAACTGTAGCTGTATGAGATTCATCTATTTAAAAAGAAAAAAAAAAAAAACCTGACATAAGTGTAAGAAAAAAGTACCAGGTGTGCAAAGGACCATTTAATGCCTGATTTTGTCAGAACAGCAACCAAATATGTTTTGCACAGTGTTCTATTTAACTTCAACAAAGAGTATAAGAGACGTGATCTGTGTGTTGTGAGTGGCAGCTGCAGCCGTGGCAACAGAGATCTGCTCAGACTTGGTGGAGGTCAGACAGATCGTGAAAAGGCTGCTGTTGCACCCAGCAGGGGAACATGAGAGGTGCTAACAGACACACAGAGCTGCAGCCATTAACCATCTATTGACCAGACGATAAACAGAAAAATAATCACCAACTATATTGAACAATTGATGAATAGTCTAAACATATTCATGCAAAAATTGCTTAAAATGCTTTACTGAATTCGTATTTTTTTGTAAAATGTGAATATCATTAGGTGTTTTTTCAACCTCACTTTTTTCTAACTCTAACTTAATGATTCTGTCTTTTTTCCTTATGTATTGCATATATGTACTTGTATTTCGTGACTTGTAATGTTTCTGTTATTGTTACCCGCCTGAGAAATACAGATGTTAATGAGCATTTTTCAGGCAGTTTGTTGTACTCATTTTTCATTTATTTGCAATGTCCCTATGAAATAAACTAAGAAATACAGCTCGAAATTATTTTAGCAGAATTGATCAATAATGAAAATAATAGTCCTAGAGAGACGCTCTAGTAAAATCACAGTCACGGCCTCACTTGTCGTCAGCCTCTTACATGATCACAATCGCTATCTCTCCATATCTCTACCCTCTTTTTAAACTGCTTATGATTTCCATGCTGATTGCTCAACACGGCTCAGATCGCTGCAGGCTGCAGTTCTTAACCTCTTCCCCAGCAGGACACGCCTACTGTATCTTTTTCTTTTACTACATGACCGCTGGAATTTTCCACTTCCATGCTAAGATAGTGGACAAAAAGGTAATCTCTCCTCACTCCCCCGTAACCCCCCCCCCCCCCCTCTACCTCTCTTTCTCTCCAGCTCAGTCTCCCTCCTAAACCCTTTCTCCACCCATATTCTCTGCCCTCCTCCCTTCTCATAACATTGAGGTAATCCTAAATTGCTAACATACTGCTCAGCCATGACTGAAAACATTCCTAACATCTCAGCGAGTGGGCTGACAGGGAAGGCCTGCTCAGTCATCATTACAGAGCTCAGCCCCCTCCCCTATACCTCCTCACACATCTTCTCTCACAACTTCACACATGCACACACTGGATCTGCTGCTAAGTCCTAATGGTTGGTGCTGCATAGGGTTGAAAATAGACATAAGCCTCCCTCTAGGCACTGAGGTCTTTCTCGTTCTTATGTACCACAGATGCTTTGCAGAAAGACAGCTGCAGAAAAGAGAGAGAGAGAGAGAAGAGAGAGAGAGAGGAGAGAGAGAGATAGGAGAGAGATAAGATATAGAGATGAGAGAGAGAGAGATGATGGGGAGAGTAGAGAGAGAGAGGACCGATAGGTTGTTGTGCTTGGGGTTGACGACAACTTCGAGGCCAGAAAACTCAGAGGAAAGACATGTCAGTACAGCCCACAGAGCAAAACAAGACAAGCAACATTTTTGTGACACGCACACACTTCCTCTGAACTCAGGTCGCAAAATGCGCTAACTATTCAATTCCAACAAGGCGTAATTCCAATGAACCGAAACTGTTATTTTCTTATAGACAGTGTTAATTGCTTTCTGAAAATCAAAGGAATCAAAAGTTGGATTTCTTGCCAAATCAGATGAGAAGAATAACACACTCTCTCTCACATCTCTCTGTTGAATATAAGGCTATAGCAGCAGCCAGTTAGCCTAGCTTAGCTTAGCATAACATTGGAGACAGGGGGAGAAGCTAGCTTTCCTTTGTTCAAAGATAGAACACCTGCTATAAGGATCTCTGAAGCTAACCTGTGATATAAACCAAAGGTTTCAAAAAATCAACATTTTGTTGTTTGATGAGGGTTATACTTGCCTATTTATTTACAAGGGTCATTGATCATTATGTTGTGACCTTCTACTATGTATTAACGGCTAATTCACAGCTAACGAATACACAACGATTTTGAGTTTCAGGTGACTATGCACGAATGACAACATAGTTATCAAAATATTATCTATTTCTCCTAGTAGGTTCAGCCTAAATCAACCATCTATTTTACCAATGACAGAGCCTAGCAAGATGTTTTCCTCTGTTTAGAGCCTCTATGCTAAGCTAAGCTAACTGGCGGCTGGCTTTATCCCTACATATGTTTACCATACAGACATCATAAAAGGTGGAAATGGGAATTTGTGCTAGTATCAATGAGGAAATCTTGATTTGTACTCAGTACAAAGTACTCAGTGATTATCAACATATGTGTGACTTATTGAAATTAAAATGTATGCTCTTTTGAACTTTTTGTCAACCCTAAACTTCGCAAATGCTTGGCAATGCTTCTGGTAAGTCTAGACAGGTTGTAGGGGCAAAGAACACACACATGTAAGAAGCAGTCATCTTGCTAAGGCGATGGAAATTTGCAAAAGGTTTCCCACCAATTGAAAAAAATCCTGGCAGAAAAAGTGGAATTCCCAATGGGAGGGATGACTTATTTTAGAGGCCACTGGAAGTCTGAGACTGCAAGGTAGACAGTATTACACAGTGCAATCGTTAACATTCCCCTAAGCTCACGTCAGGGCAGCTTTTAGATGTCTGAGGTAATCACCTTGTGAGACGGCTTCTTCTGGGGCATGCCTGCGCTGCCAGCAGAGCCTCAGATGACTTATTGTAAATGGAGAGGGTGTTTAGTGCTCTAGAAAAAAACGGGCCTCTAAAAGGGGTCCTGACAGTTTGTTGCTAAGGGGGCAGGTTTGTGCACAGCCGGCCTCTTTGTTGACATTCTCATGACAAATGTATAGAGCCTGGGACACAACACTACACTGCTAAACAGGCCTGAAGAGTTATTTGGGTAAATGTAAAGATGCCTGCAGTGATTTGTGCACAAGGTCTGTACGCTAATTAAAAGCATGTTGTAAAGTAGTTGTGCCATTCTGGAAAAGTATTATTATTTTTAAGCATAAGTCCCTCTAGTTTGCCTAAAATTAACATTTGATTAATTTTATCAGATTAATTTAGATTTCAAAATGTGAATTTACTACTGAATCAAGCTCAGAAATGCATTAACATGGTAGCATTAGTTTAATCAGTATGCAGTTTTTCCGTTCTAGTGCTGAAGCCAATTTCTTTTTTTTATTATTGATTATTTATGCAAAGTTGAGTTTTTCCTTAAATGTCAGAAAAATAGTGCCTGTCTTGAGCCCGAGGCAATGTCTTTACATTTTAAATAACCAACAGTCCAAAAGGTGGAATCAGCTAATGTGTGGCTTTTTTGTTTGATAACTTACATTAATGATTAAAGAATCAGAAAATAAAAGCTGTTGATTCATATTCTGTTTAGTAATCGATCTATCCACTACTTGTTTCCTCACTGTTATGATTCCTAAGCCAGGATCAACAGAAGCTGAAACAGTGGAGTTATTTCAGGTATGTGCCTGTCCTTGAATATCCGAATCTGCCTGAAGAATGAAAGGATGAGATTCCATCTCGGATGAATAACACCATAAGAATCTCGTCAAGTTAAGACACCCAAAAAAAAAAATGGCTTTAATGGTCCCATGACATGGCCATTTCTACTGATCATAATTCCATTGTTGAGGTCTACTAGAATAGATTTACATTGTTCAATGTTCCAAAATCACATTTCTCATACAGCATCTCTGTATAGTATGTGTACTCACTCACTGTCCTACATGGCTTGTTGAGGCTCCTGCCCCCCCATCCCTATGAGCCCACTCTGTTCTGATGAGTCCACCACCGTTACAGCTGAACATCAGTGTTTATGTGTTACAATGGCGTTTGTTAGCAACCAGAAAAATGACACCAGTAATGACAAACAGATGAGAATGCTGCGTGGGGTCTGGGTGCCGTGTTGGCGGGACGTTGCGGGGCTCGCTGCTCCGCCCTTTGAAGCTCGAGGAGCGGACAGTGTGAGCTGGATTACTGGTGTCGTTTCCTGGTTGCTGCGTGGGGTCTGCGAGACAGTGAGACACCGCGGAGCAGTGGTCGCGTTAACCGAATATTTTCTGTCTATGACGGATTTTTTTTAACAATGACGGAAAAATCTGAAAGCAGTCCGTCATTTTGACAGACTAGAACAAACTCAGAACAGCGCCAAATCTAACACCGCGCTACAGTTCACGAGCGTGGCCGCCACCCCCCCGTTGACAGTTCACGAGCGTGCTCTCTCTCTTGCTTTCTCTCTCCCCCCCTCCCCGTCAGAGTTGTGTAAAGACCGACGGGTAATACTGTATTTTGACGGAAATGTTACGATCCTGTCCGTCAAAATGAGGGGCAGCGAAAAAGTCTAGCGCTACCTCTGGTAGAATATATAAGGCTGAGTGAGTGTGTGTCCGTTACGTCACTATGACAAGGAAGAAAAAAATGGAAAAATAAAAATCTCCAACGAGGCGTTCTGGGGCAGCATAGACAGGTCTTTTCTGTGTTAGAGTTTTACTCGCTACAGGCTGTACTTTGAGGGTTTGTGACTTTGCAGACAAAGCTACATAACACACAAGGGGACGGTTAATAACCGGAAAAGCATGACATGGGACCTTTAAAAACAAACAGTAATGTGTCTAAAATAAACAGCCTCACGGAGACTTTGGTGGCACTGATTGATGGTTTTATGGTTCCTCTGAAGCCGGAATCAATTTTCAAGTTTTTGAGACATGATTGACAATAATTAAAGGGCAGGAAAAGCTTACAAAGCATGGCTAGAAGGAGTTAGATTTCAATGGTGAATAAAACATAATTTCACAAAGCCTAAAGGGGGTTTGTTAAGGACAACTGCGTGTAAAACAGTAAAGAAAGCAACACAGTTCCTGTCAATCAACATTTGTTGCTGTTCACCAAAATTCCAAGCTTCAAATGCTAACTGTAATTAGCAGAGCGTGCTTTGTCTCAACAACAGCAATGGGAAAGTGGGATCAAAATAATGAAAGACAAATGTGCGCAATGCCTTACACCTGGATGTCAGTGATTCCACCAGAAGACTTGCCAACATATCCATCTGGAGCTTTTCAGGGCATTAAAGGCTCAACACCTGCACATTAATGAATACACTGCAGGAAACAGCATTAATATTCTGAAACCATGTGGATGTTTAAAATCTTAAACATTCCAAAGTGATGTTATTGTTCCTGAACCTGGATTCACGCTGCGCTAATTATTGCCAATTTACCCGAGCCATCCTGCATCAAACGCAACACTTCTCCAGAAACCAGCTCCAGCCCACAGGCGAAACTCTCCCCGCAGTACGGGTTTGTGGAGAAACAAGCACATGACGCTCAGTGATAAAACACAAAGAGCAGGTTTTGCGACTGAAAGTGTAGCGAGGAAGAGAAGAGGCCATAAAACTGTGCTGTAAAGAAAAACAGAGTAGAAAAAGACAGGTGTAAATCAAGAGGAGAGGAGCGGAGATGATCTCAGGACGGCAATAACCGGCTCTGAGAGACTGGAAGAACCTGGCCCGGGGTCACAACTCAACAGGTACAGACTTGTTTAAGAGAGCACCGAGTGGAAAGAAAACACCTCTGTGTCAAAGCAGTGACAAGAGCACAAGAGGGAGCAAAGTACTTTTCTCATTTTTCTTTAGGGCCTCATGGTGCGTGTTTGTTTTCTTTTAACCACAAATCTCTGTGGGATGGATGGTTTTCTCATTTTGGTGCATTCATTATGGGACTGTTTTCTATGGAATTGTTGTTCTTTTGTTGCTCTGGCTGTTATCCAGCATACTTACCATACATCTTTCCCTCATCTGACAGGATGATTTTCCTCCTGCCGCAGGGGGGGTATATGGCGAGGGCCTCCTGGAAGCTATGCTCGATGTCCGGGCTCCACACGCCCTCGGCGTCCCCGTCAATGGCCTTGTCATCGTTCTCCCCGTCCAGCCCATCTTCAGGGCTACCGTTGGCACTCCACTCGTTGGACGCAATGGTGGCGGCTCCCCCTGGGCCCGACCCCGAGCCCCAAAATCAAGGGATCTGTAGGAGACCTGTGAGAGAAAGGCATAGGATGCTTAGATTATTGTATATCTTCATATTGATTTAAATTATTTAGCAAATGTTAAACAAATAATTAACTTTGAAATCTAAACAGTGGAAATAAATGTTAAAGAATTTGTTATTATCAACAAAAGCCATGACAACACCAAATCAACAATAACTAGGCAGGTAATGTCAGTGCAGCCGAAGCCTGGTATAGTTGATAAACTATAGAGCTCCATTGTTACTCCAACAAGAAGCCTATGATTGCTGTTGGGCTTCTTCGGCTTATTAATAAAAATAACTAGTGGCCTGATGTTCATTACATTCGGTGAAAGGATGTACCATGGGCAAAAGAAGAAGCCATTACATTTTGGTGCTGATCTGAATCCCATAGAAGCAGTATTTTTTTCGCTTTCGTCAAATTGCAAAATAGGGCATTTGGCCATGGCAAAGGTCTGTGCTCTCTAAGTGACCTTCTTGTTATCTAACATTATTTAAAACACATTATTGAGCTACATAATTGCAATCTGTGGCATGTTTCGTATGAGTGAGGGCACTGTGAGTAAATCTAACAAACACTGTCCTTGTGATGTAAATACTCACTATAGTGCATCGAATCTGTATTGATCCGCTGCTGCACATAGTTCCCCAACAAGTGCCATGTTTACTTCTGTTTGCTATAAAGCTGTTCAGGACATTACTTCTTATTTAAGAAAAACACGTTATATATAAGGCATTGTTTAAGGATTTATAATTTAAGTGGGAATTAATAGACTTAGAGACACATTGAGATGTTCATGTGATTTGCTACTAATAACAGAAATGAGTGCAGCAATAAGCCATCATTTTCATAATTTTAATAAGGAAACACTTCTGCTTGAACCACAACATGTACATCTTACTACAAAACTATACAAAAAAACTATAATTTTAGGCAGTGAAAATTGTACAAACTATTGTATCAATGTTGGTCTATCGGCCACAGTCGTAAATGTGGGTCATGTGATGCTCAATGCATTACTATGAGGAAAATCATGCCTCACAATAACTATTTTATTAGGTCTACCATACTGTCTTATTACAAACCGACTTTTGTTTTATCAACATATTCTTCTTTTTGAGATTGACATGTAGAAACTCAGCCAGTAAAATCCTGTAAAAATGTTTTTATATTTGGCACAAGTTGCATGAATCTTGGAAAAATGTTCTCAGAAAACATCCACTGTTTTTTGCCTTCATTTTGACAAACTGAGCTGTAATAACGAACAGGTTAGTGTAACGGCTTTTTATTTGTTTCCTTGTTTCGACTCTAGCAACTCGGCTTATAATCAGAAGCAAATTTCAACAAGATCAATAAAATAAAGGAGAACATGATTTTTGATTTAAGTAATGTCGGCTACCTCATTAACAGCTTGCCATGCTGTGTGAACTTCAACCCGGCTTAGCTTCTCTACAAGTAATGAACATAAAGTGAATTATTTGTGTGGCTTTAAAGAGCTGAGTGAGTTCATGTTAAGCATAATGAGAGTTAAAAAGGGAATGTCATTCATGTGTAGGTCGTTACTTTGCCTCTCTTTGACAATGTCTTTATTGCTGTCATTAAATCTGAATGAATAAACAATGCTAACCGTAATTATTACTGTAATTTCCTCAATTTTATTTCCCTGAAATGGCCAAATGAATTCAAGATATTCCATCAAATGTAGTTTAAAGACCTCACTAATCAGAGCTGGCCTCAAAGAATTCTTGTGGTCTGGGAACTGTGTCCCAGTGTGGTTGGCTCATGACTGACTGCAGGCTAAGATCTTAAGTATTTTTCAAGCTGCCTTTCAGCATCGTATTGTTTCTGAACGTCTATGAGGTAACCACGATCTTCCCAGGATGCTTGTGTTTCTGCTGTAGCATTTCTGCAGATGTTGACATAAATAAAGCATAATAGATGAATAGAGAGAGTTTTATTATACTGACATTTAGAGTTTATATGATAGAATGTAAAACGAGTATGTTACATTATCTGTTTTCAGCTGTTATTTCCCCGATATGAGCCATATTTTAAGTCTTTTAAGAGGTTTTGCAGAGTTAGGGAGTCAAATATGGACAGTTTAATTCTTTCACATAAAAATCAATCCTGAAATTAAGCTTCCTTTGTTTTGTACATAAAATCTTATCTAACATATGAAAAATGTCTATGTAAACAAGTGAAACCATTATACTCAAGGCCACAGAAGTGTGTATAATTATAATTTGGAGTATAATTACACCAAAACTCTGCCGCCTAAAAGTGGTTTTATTTTCATCATTTGTCATGATGACCATGATAGTTTCGAAATCCCTCTATCTTCCCCTTCTCTGTTTATCTCTCATTATTTAGAAAAAGTCACACTTTTTAACCACATACTGGTGAAAAAGCAGAGGTGAAGGATTAGTGACGCTTCCTTTCGCTTCCCATCATCATAAAAGAGGAATTCAAAAAGATCAAAGGCGGGTAGATACGTTTTATCCCGCAGCGATATCCGTCCAAACGCTACATACAACATTTAATTTATGGACGTCACTGAAGCCAGACGGGAGTTTGGCAAATATCCACAAGTCCAGCTGCTAATTTTAGCTGAGAGGGTATTGGTTATGGCGGGCCCTCTGCAACAGGGTCACGGTGTTAAAACTCAACACTGAAACTGAGCACTCATCAGCAGCTCAAGTGATGCGTGTCCGTCCTCGCAGATCACACTGGATCCTCCCAATCACTGCTCACTGGAGTCAGGGTTTGTTTAATCATACACTGAAAAAACGTAATTTTAAATACAATGACTAAAAACAAAGACATGTGGATATGCAAGTGAATACATAAATAGAATTGAAGCTGCAACAAATCAAATTAAATGTGTCTACTGTATAAGTCCTTTGATAAAATATTATTGCCTCTTCATTTTCCAAAAAAGAAATGATTTGATTCTACTTTTTAAAATGTGAGAATGTTTCATCTATTGTTGTGTTGTATTATAGTAAACTGAATATTGTGTTTTGTGAATTGAATTAGGGCTGCAGGTAATGAATATTTCCATTAGTCTGCATATCATTGTCTCAATCAATCAATTTCTGTCTATACAATGCGAAAGATTTGAGAACAATGTCTGAGAAATCGATGCAAAATATTTTGTTCATCATGTAGGAGCATCAATCCAGCAAATACTTGCAATTTCTGCCTTAGAAATAAAAACAATAATTCAGTTAGTAGTTCAGATCAAGTAGTTCTAGTCATTGAAATTATTTAAGAGTTTAAATGTCAACTTTGGACCTTTCTGGAAAATTGTGAGCACACATTAACACATCATTTAATAGTTACCCCAACTTTTCCAGCAGCCTGTGATGACAAAATAATTGTACTTTCATTGTGTAGCTGTCAGCAGTTGTTGGCACAAATTAAAAACAGAAACATCTTTAGGCCCAAAGAGCCATTAACATCAACACTTCTGTGAACCCTGAACACACGCCAGGCCACACAAGTCTGCTGTTAGAGTGTCTCTCAGGCAGTATTTCATTAATGAACGCACAGGTGCTGCAGGGCAACTGCTCCAGTCGAGCCGGGGCAATAATCAGAGACTGGTGGCACAGTGAGGGAGGGGCGGCCGCTCTATTGTTTATCTCCAATTATAGCAGAGAAAACACTGCAAACCTCCTCCGCACTGCGAGCTGTGAAGAGCAGCAAGCAGCGCTCAGATCTGACGGCCTCGATGGAGCTCAGAGTGCGTTCAAGAGAGGCTCTTCAGCGAGAGAGGGGCCTGAATTCCAGACATGTCCTTATTAAGAAAGGGCTGCGAGTGCTCACTGTTTCTCCTCCTGCCTCCCTTGTGTCAACCCAACGCCCTCCCTCCCTCCTCTTCTGCCAGCCCCCCCCCCCACCACCACCACCACCCTCCACCCAGGGCTCAGAACGTCTCTATCCAAATAAGGACAGGAGACCAGGGGATGCGTGTATGGGAGGAGTGGGTGGTGGTTGGCTTGGTTGGTTGGTTGGAGAGCAGACGGGGGAAAGGGGGTGTGTATGTGGGGTGGGGGTGTTGTCCAATTTAGGCGTCCACTTTGGGGTCTGGAAAACAGTGGGATTGTTCCAGCTGGAATGCAACATCAGCAGTGAACACGCTCAGAGCTCAGACTAGAGGCAGGCCATTGTCAGTGGAGCCATTTTTCAATACATCCTCTTGTGGAGTCACAGGATTCTAAATCTGAACAATAGTCATGGCTCGATGGTGAAAAGTTAAAGGACAGTTTTATGGGCTGAAATACAACAACTAGTTGGACCCAAGATGGAGGGATTCGCTTCTCCGACACAATTTACTGCCAGCATGTTGTTTGAAAATAAAAGCTGTTGTAATTAACATATTGATTACATTACAACAGCTGTTTGTATTGTGCCTTTGAGCCAAGTTCGGGTGATAAACTCAGGCATAGTAATGACTTACAGAACAAAATAAACGGCAGATATACAAAGCTGAGTGTATACAGTGTAATACATAAAGACAGCTACTGATAACCTGAAACAGCGGATTAATCGCTCAACAGAAAATGAATGAACCTAAAACTATTTTGATACGTTAACCGCTTAAGTATTTTCTGCTGCTCTATTGTGAGGTTTATTCTGTTTCATGTGATAATAAATACAAATTGTTTAGACTTTGGTCTGGTGGTCAAAGAATAGGGCTGGCTGATAATTCAATAATGTAATAAATGATCATCGTTTCGTGCAATAATATTGTGATGAAACCATATATTGAGATAACAGAATTAGCATACAGAATTACGTTGTGAACGTTGAAAACAACAAGCACATACTAACTCAAACTCTCAAAATTAAATGAGAAAATACTCATTGTTAATTTATACAGTGGTATACAAATATAGGCTATTTATATAGAATATTAATTTTAAATATCTGAAAACATAATAGGCAATCGGCAAACATCATGTGATAAATAGCACTACTGAGATAATGTAATGACCAATATTAGGT